AAAAAAAAAAAAAAAAAAAAATTTGCCGAGTGTGGTGGTGTGTGCCTGCGGTTCCAACTACTTGGAAGGCAGAAGCGGAAGGATCACCTGAGCCCAGCAGGTTGAAGTTGCAGTGGCCATGAACATGCTACTGCATTCCAGCCTGGGTGACAGAGTGAGACTCTGACTCAAAAACAAAACAATACAAAAACTAGCTCACTACTGGCATATAGTAAGCGCTCAGTAAATAGTTACTAATCACAATAGAAAGATAAATGGCCTGAGTCCATGGGTTCGAGATCAGCCAGGGCAACTTGGAGAGACCTCATCTCCACAATTTAAAAAAAAAAAAAAGCTGGGTTTGGTAGCATTGTGCCGGCAGTTCCAGCTAATTGGAAGGCTGAGGCAGAAGGATCACCGGAGCCCAGCAGGTTGACACTGGGGTGGCCACTGGGGTGGCCATGGGTGTGCCACTACACTCCAGCCTGGATGAAGGAGTGAGACTCCAACTCAAAAAAAAAAAAAGCAAAAACAAACAAACAAAATAAAAGAAAGATAAATGGCCAGGTGTGGGGATTCAAGCCTGTAATCCCAGCACTTTGGGAGGTGAAGGCGAGAGGATTGCCTGTGCTCAGGAGTTTTGAGACCAGCCTGAGCAACATGGCAAGACCTCGTCTCTACAATAAATCAAAGAATTAGCTGGGCATGGTGGCACATGCCCTATGGTTCCAGCCACTTGGAAGGCTAAGGTGGAAGGATCACCTGAGCCCAGCATGTTGAAGCTGTGGTGGCTGTGAGCATGCTACTACGCTCCAGCCTGGGCAAGAGTAAGACACACTGAGTCAAAAAAAAAAAAGATAAATGACTACCAATGCAGCAAATAAGATAAACAAGAATAAGGATAACTATACAATTACAAGATATTAAATTGTCATTTAAAAAACAAAAGAAGCCGGGCTCGGTGGCTCAGCCTGTAATCCCACGTTTTGGGAGGCTGAGGTGAGTGGATTGCCTGAGCCCGCGGGTTCGAGATTCACCTGGGCAACTTGGCGAGACCTCATCTCTACAATAAATCAAAAAAATTAGCCAGGCATGGTAGCACGCGCCTGTAGTTCCAGCTACTCGGAAGGCTGAGGCAGAAGGATCGCCGGAGCCCAGCAGGTTGAGGCTGCGGTGGCCGGGAGTGGCCACTGCACTCCAGTCTGGGCGACAGTGAGACTCCAACTCAAAAAAAATAAAATAAAATAAAAATAAAAAGAAGACTAAAAGGAAAACAAGATGAACATTCCACAATCCAGACTGAATTTAAAAGTTGAGTTTTAAAATGAAAATTTTCTTTCCTTCCTTTTTTTTAGGCAGGGTCTGGTTGCTGCCCGGAATGGAGTACAGTGGCATGAACATGGCTCACTATAGTCTCCTAAATATCTGGGGCTACAGTCATGTGCCACCACGCTGGGATTAATTATCTTATTTTTTGTAGAGATGAGGTCTCACTGTGTTTCCTTGGCTGGTCTCCCAACTCCTAGGTTCAAGCTATCGTCCCACTTTGGCCTCCCAAAGCAATGGGATTAACAAGTATGCGCTACACATGAAAAAAAAATTTTCTTTTTTTGAGTTGGAGTCTCACTCTGCTGCCCAGACTGGAGTGCAGTGGCACGCTCCCGGCCACTGTAGTCTCAACCTGCTGGGCTCTGGTGATCCTTCTGCCTCAGCCTTCCAAGTAGCTGGAAATACAGGCGGGCGCTACCACACCTGACTAATTTTTTGGTTTATTGTAGAGATGAGGTCTCACCAAGTTGCCCAAGTGGGTCTCGAACCCACAGGCTCAGGCAATTCACTCACCTCAGCCTCCTAAGATGCAGGATTACAGGCTGAGCCACCAAGCCCAGCTTCATGAAAACTTTCTAATTGATCAGATTAACAAACGGAAGACCATCTTCCTCATCCAAGGACAGTTTCCCAGGAAATGAAATCAAAACAGCAAAGTCATGCTAGGCATGGTTGCTCATGCCTACAACCCTAGCACTTTGGAAGGCCAAGGCAGGATTGCTTGAGCCCAAGGGTACATGACCAGCAGCCTAGGGAAACCTTGTTTATACAAAAAAAAAAAAACAAACAAAATGCGGGCATGGTGGCTCATGCCTGTAATCCCAGTACTTTGGGAGGTGAAGGTGAAAGGACTGCCTGAGTCCAAGGGTTCGAGGCCAGCCCAGGCGACTTAGTGCGACCTTGTCTCTACAATAAAAAACCAAAAAATTAGCCAGCTATCATGGCGAGTGCCTGTAGTCCCAGCTACTTGGGAGGCTGAAGTGGAGGATCACCTAAGCTCTGTAGATCAAGGCTGTGGTAACCGTGATTGTGACTGTCATCACTGGGTGACAAAGTGAGACTCTGATTAAAAAAAAAAACAAAAAAACTAGGCATGGTTGTACATGCCTGTAGCCCCAGTTACTTGGGAGGCACTGCCCTACAGCCTAGGAACCTCAGTGAGATCTCAACTTAAAAAAAAACAAGAAGCCAGGCTCGGTGGCTCAGCCTGTAATCCCACGCCTTTGGGAGGCTGAGGTGAGTGGATTGATTGTCTGAGCCCACGGGTTCGAGACCCGCCTGGGCAGCGAGACCTCATA